CCATTATCATCGACAGTGAAAGTAAAAGAAAAACCTAAATTTTGGGTTTTCCGCAGAAAAAGTAATAGAGAGGAAATCTTCCAGTAAGGACACTAGTTCTGGTGAGCCTGGTGACAACCAGAGATTCCTTCATTTTAAAGGGATTTCCTCTCACTTCCTGTTTTGGCTATGGAAATCTCCCCAATAGGACACAGGTAGCAAAAAACAAAAAAAACCTCCCGTACTCTATCCAAAATGGAAAAAAAGTTTTACCTTTAGTTCTACTTTAATAAATTTTATTAAACTGGCAGTTCATAATGTACAAATAAATATCTAACATAAAGAAATAAGATTCAGAGCATTAAGGCTTTTCTGAAGAAACTCCAGACATCAATCTGAACAGAGCAGATGGAAGAGGGAATTAGTCACTATTCTGATTAGTGAATTAGTGTGTGTGTAATGCCATGCACTGCTTGAATGTTGATTGGTATCTCCTGAGTTAAATGAAATTTGAGCCATGGATGGCCCTGTTGACATCTCCTGTCTCTACAAACTTTGATTATAAAGTCAAAGGAGTCAAATTGTTGGCCAAAAAACATTGACTGCATTCAGTCAGATGCAGACACTGTTCAGGTATTCAGATAGCCACAAATTCCACTCCTGTCAGAATATAATAGCCGGCAAGAGACATATCTATGCTATTTAATGCGGATAGGGGAATCACTGATTTCTCATTCAGACTGTGAGGCTGAACATGAGAAATCTAGTCATATATGGCTTTCTTAAGTTTTGCCTAGAGCTAGTGAGCTCTGCAAGCAACAGGAAGCTAGTAAATCTACTCTGTCAGTTCTGTAAAAAGAATCTTACAGCTTCACCTGCTGGCTGCATATCAAAAATATGTTCAAAATGTTTTTGTTTAGCCCTGTCCATTTTATGTATACAACACAATTATGCATCATCTTCGAATGAATATCTTTTATATTCTAAATGATACTTACTCTTTGCCTAACACATGAAACTGGTCTATAAATAATAATAATCCAGTGGATATAAAATCGTCTAATGGGCGAAAATTGACTTTTTACACTAGGATTTTCAAAATGTCAAGATACCCTGTCAACATCTATCTCAATATAAACCTTAATAGATCGCTTAATTTATTACTGTAATTGAAAGATGCTTGAAAGTACTTTTTCATCCATTCAGGGATACAGGAACTCATTAACTATTGGGTTTTACTGCAACCTATAGAACTGGACATCTGCAAACCAAAAAAAAGAAGGGCAGCCCACAATACTTCCTCCTATTCCCAGCATGACTCAGTTTTTTGCTAGTATCTTTTCTTGAGCACTACAGGGAAAAATATTACCAGTTTTTTGTTGGCATTGTTTCTCTATAATCAAGATCTTTGTACAAAACTGCTATGGCTGGTCTCTATGTGGCAGCTATCCAGATTGGTCTTTTTTCAGTTTAGTTCTTGAGTGCCATAACCAGAACTCCCTGGGCTGGATGTCGCGGAACTAGCCTGCAAGTGACCTTTGGGCACTTGGTTCCTCTTAAGATGCTTTCCAGACTTCTGCCGGTTAGCTGCAAAATGCTTTTCAGGTCCAAACTGCTTGCATTGTCTCCGCACTTGCCCTGTCTCTGAAGGCTCGCTTTGTGAGGTGAAACAGGCTGAGCACCAGGAGCAACCTGGTTAGTGGAACACTTGCCACCTTTCAAAATACGTACGTCTATTAGTTTTTTACCACTAAAGGGGTTACTTCTGACATCATCCTCTTGCTGGAGTGTCACACACTCCATGCTATCTTTCCCAGCATTCAGCATTGAGGAAGCACTCTTCCCACTGCTGCTTCTGTTTGCAGGAGCAACATGGAACTCCATTTCTGATGCCCACCTACAGTGACTTTGCCACCTCAGGCCGTCTAACCCCCCTCTAGCAGTAGGGTTTTGTATTACCTAAGGCCCTGACTCATATGTTATCTGATCTCCTTTTGACTTTAGCGGACCCTCAGCCTTCAGCCACTGAGACTCTATCTGATGCCAAGTCTCTTCAGTCCTTGCTGCACAAGCCTGCTTGTGAGGACACAGTCTTCTGCCATTAATAACAAACTAGAAGAGACCTTTCTTATTGATGCAGTGCACAACACCTTGAAGCTCAGAGGATCAGCCTGTCACTACTACCAGCACTGTCCCCAGTCTAGAGTCCTTTAGAGCTTCTAAGACCACCAAGACCTTTCCAGTGCACCCACTTTTTCCTTTATGAACAGTAGAAACATCCTGATGAGATGGTTGCCCCCTCTATGGAACGATGGCCCATTGGCTAAAGGATCTAAGATCTATAGCAGCTGACTACTCGGTCATGGAATATTTGGAACACATTGCTGTGGCTCTTCACTTCACTGTTGATGGGCTGCTGATGGTTTCCCATCTCATTTCCTGATGAGTATTTCAGTCCACATGGGGAGTGCACTTTGGCTGAAGTGCTTTCTGGGTCTACCCTGAATACCATAATCAGGGGTACCACAGGTGGCAAGAACATTCACATTGCTGAGCCAAAGAAGTCTAAGGCCCAGTCTGGAAAGGCTCATCCCTTTTATTACTCCACATTCTAGAACTCTGAGTTTAAACTCAAACTGAGCTCCCAGACCACCCATCAGTGCTGGAACTCCAAGTCTGCCAAATCCTCAGACAAATTGTCTTTAGCATGTAGGTACATCCCCACTTTCCAAAGTGGGGGGATAACTGTTAGCCTCTGTGGATGTTTCGGTGATGCTTGGGTGAAGGAGATGGTTACCAGGGACTACAAGCTAGGCTAGAGTTTCCTCCTAGCACCCTCCTCACTTTATCAGTTCCAACCTTCCTGTGTCACCCCACAGAACAACAGATCTCCTTGCAGTCCTGGTGGGTCTTGTGTAACAGGGTATCATTGCCCCAGTTCCTGTGGCAGAAAGGTTTCAGGATTTCTACCTCAGTTTGTTCATAGTTTCCAAACTAAAAGGGGTATCCTATCTTGGATCTCAAAACCCTTAAATTGGTATTAAAGGTAAAATATAAAATGACCTTTACTATATGATACAGTCAGTCACTAGCATAAATAAATCAGTATTTGTTTTTCCCTCCTGTAACCAATTTTTTCACCTGTTGTTCCGGCTGTTATTTTTCAACTTACTTTAACAGATGAGGCTGTCTGGCAAAAGTACCAGTTAAAGGATTGAGACAAAGCATTAACGCTAACATGAGTGCGTACAATGGTCAGCTTTTATTAATTTAAGGAAAACCTTTATCTCCAAAAGAAAAAACAACATGTTTCTGAAACTGATGAAAAAGAGTACTTTAATTTGTTAGCCACTTATGGAATATCCCTCTCCAAACAATGCTGCTGTCCAAGGGTGTCTCAATTGCTCTTCCATAGGTAGATAAAACAGGAAACATTATACTGGCCAGATCACCAGGTGAAAAAAAAATAAAGAGGGAAAAACAAATGCAGCCACAACACCTCTGGATTGGTAAGCTGCAATATATAAAATTTTTGTTTTGGGGTTAGATATGCTTTAATTCAGACCCAGAAATTCCACAAGGAGTCTACCAGGTCTGCCATAGCCTTCCTCTATCAAGGTGTCATTCTGGCCTCTGTAGACATAAATCATATGTACCTGCTGGTATCTTTCCAACACATTGAGCATACTTATAGGAGGCAGTGAGCACAGGGTGACTTCATCACATGTGACTGATGAACCTCGAAGTGGTTCTTCAGTCATTTTTTGAAAATGTAAAAGTCAGCAGCTACAAAAACTATAGCTGCTGACTTTTAATAAATATACACTCACCTGTCCAGGGATCCAGTGCTTTCTTCACCGTTCTTCCGTCCCCAGTGCCGGCATGCTAACTGTGGGCATCCGGCTGTGACTCACTACGGCTTCAAAGCCTGCTGCCCACTGTGCTTTGTGAATGGTCTTGCAGTCTTCTGGGACCTGTGACGTGTCCCAGAGGGCTGTGGGCGGGGGGGGAGAGATTGCCTAGATGATCCGAGTTGAATTGGGATCGGGTACCTGTCAAAACTAGGTACCTGCTACCCCACCCCACCACCAAAAAAAATGTTCCACTTATAATAGTAGAAATGTGGAGGAGGAGCATTGATCTGATGCTGCATCTGGCACTCTCAACCTCTACACCGAGAACTAACTCACTGGAGTGTTGAGCTGTGGAGGGGGTGAAAGCAGCTGTTTCAGCCTGCCAGCGGCATGCTGAGAGGCTGGGCAAGCTACGGTCAGGCAACTGGGTGAACCCCAACATTATTGTCGGGATTCCTGCAGAGCCTGAACTGGCTCTGTGACATCAGTCAACAGCACTTTTATTATTTATTTTAGCATGCTGTCAGCTGAATCTGGGCCACAGGAGTGCAGAACTAAGTGCATTCCTGTGATTTACCGGAGAAATTTGGCCAAATGAGCTTTGGCAATACTTTTTTCAAATGTTCAGTTACAAGCTGGGGCGGACCTTGGACCAGCTTGATTATTAGCTGCTTTGTAGTCTGTAGAGATTTAAAGTATCTTTTTGTGCAGTCTGGCAGGGCTGTCTGGGTTACAAGATTGGCTAAATAGAATCATAACTCCTATATCAGGTATAACAGCTCTTGTGTATGTGTTTGCCTTGGGTTCAACTTTTATGTCAGCTGCTTTAATTTTATTTGTTCAGCTTTCTTGCATTAGTTACAGTCTCTGATCTGGAGTTCTATAATACAGCTCTAATGCTCAGCACAATGTATCCTTGTATTCCACAAAAGGGGAAACATGTTGGCTAAAGTTTGTTTGATGTTTTATTTTACTGGTGCTAATTGTCTGTTCAGTAAAGCCTTGTGACCATTTAATAAAAAGAAGACAACACAGCAGTGTTTCTAACAAATGATCAGACATAATGACATTTGTCTTATAATTTATGTAAACTATTAAATTTAGTGCCTCCCTTTTAGGTATAATAAATTTGACAAATAGTGGTCGTTTCTGCTCTGGTATTGTTTAATGACATTGTACTTTACTGATATTACCTCCACGTCAGATAAACCAAAGGACCGAGAGATCCCATTTCTGTCCTTAGAAGAAATTCAAGATGTTTTAAGAAAACATGTTGCAGATTCTCCAGATGAGCTGCTTGTTGAACTGTCTGAAAACCTAATAAGGTTAGTTTTATAAAGCAATTCTTTTCTCATTCCTCCTCATTAGTTGCATCAGCTTTAGAGTACAAAAGAGAGTTTACACCTTTGTGGCTCAGCTGGATGACACATGTTCTTGGCATTGAGCAAAGAAGTCACTCTGTGTATAATAACTCTTCATAAAGTATAATAGCCAACAATAGTGGTTGTAAAAGTTTTTTTTTTTTTGGGTGTTTTTTTGGTTTTGCACAGAGCAGCCCTGATCCTCCTCTTCTGAAGTCCTCTGCCAATGCTCTACGCTCCTTCTCTTTAGTGTCTGCCCCCATAGCAAGCACTTGTTATGTAACTGTAATCAGAATTAAGCAATCACATTCAAAATCATGTTAAATAGGAGTTAGTACACACCTGCCATCATTTAAAGTGCCTCTGATTAACCCCAAATAAAGTTCAGCTGTTCTAGTAGGTTTTTCCTGTCATTTTCTTAGTCACATCCTACAGCAAAAGCCATGGTCCGCAGAGAGCTTACAAAGCATCAGAGGGATCTCATTGTTAAAAGGTATCAGTCAGGAGAAGGGTATAAAAGAATTTCCAAGCATTAGATATACAATGGAACACAGTGAAGACAGTCATCATCAAGTGGAGAAAATATGGCGCAACAGTGACATTACCAAGAACTGGATGCCCCTCCAAAATTGATGAAAGGACGAGAAGAAAACTGGTCTGGGAGGCTGCCAAGAGGCCTACATCAGCATTAAAGGAGCTGCAGGAATATCTGGAAAGTACTGGCTGTGTGGTACATGTGACAACAATCTCCCGTATTCTTCATATGTCTGGGCTATGGAGTAGAGTGGAAAGACGGAAGCCTTTTCTTACGAAGAAAAATATCCAAGCCTGGCTAGATTTTGCAGAAACACATCTGAAGTCTCCCAAAAGCATGTGGGAAAATGTGTTGTGGTCTGATGAAACCAAGGTTGAACTTTTTGGCCATAATTCCAAAAGATATGTTTGGCGCAGAAACAACATTGTGCATCACCAAAAGAATACCATACCCACAGTGAAGCATGGTGGTGGCAGCATCATGCTTTGGGGCTGTTTTTCTTCAGATGGAACTGCGGCCTCAGTCAAGGTAGAGGGAATTATGAACAGTTCCAAATATCAGTCAATATTGGCACAAACCCTTCAGGTCTCTGCTAGAAAGCTGAACATGAAGAGGAGTTTCATCTTTTAGCATGACAACAACCCAAAATATACATCCAAATCAAGATAATGAATGGCTTCACCAGAAGAAGATTAAAGTTTTGGAATGGCCCAGCCAGAGCCCTGACCTGAACCTGATCGAAAATCTGTGGGGTGATATTAAGAGGGCTGAGCACATAAGATGCCCTCGCAATCTGACAGATTTGGAGTGCTTTTGCAATGAGGAGTGGGAAAATATTGCCAAGTGAAGATGTGCCATGCTGATAGACATATACCCAAAAAGACTGAGTGCTGGAATAAAATCAAAAGGTGCTTCAACAAAGTATTAGTTTAAGGGTGTGCACACTTATGCAACCATAATTTTTTAGTTTTTTATTTTAACTTCTCTCCACCTAAATGATTTAAATTTGTTGTACAGTTTATAGGTTACATTAAAGGTGGAAAACGTTCTGAAATTATTTATCTTTGTCTCGTTTTTTTAAATCACATGGGATGCCTGCCTTTACATGCACATTAACTTTAATGGCATCCCAGTCTTAGTCCGTAGGGTTCAATATTGAGTTGGCCCATCCTTTGCAACTATAACAGCTTCATCTCTTCTAGGAAGGCTGTCCACAAGGTTTAGGAGTGTGTCTATAAAAATGTTTGACCATTTTTTCAGAAGCGCATTTCTGAGGTCAGGCACTGATGGCGAACGAGAAGGCCGGGCTCACAGTCTTCACTCTAATTCATCCCAAAGGTGTTCTATCAGGTTGAGGTCAGGACTCTCTGCAGGCCAGTCAAGTTCCTGCACTCCAAAGTCGCTCATCCATGTCTTTATGGACCTTTCTTTGTGCACTGGTGTGCAGTCATGTTGGAACAGGAAGGGGCCATCCCCAAACTGTTCTCACAAAGTTGGTAGCATGAAATTGTCCAAAATGTCTTGGTATTCTGATGCCCTTCACTGGAACTAAGGGGTCAAGCCCAACCCTTAGAAACTACCCCACACCATAATCCCCCCTCCACCTATCTTTACACTTGGCACAGTGTAGCTAGGTAAATACCGTTCACCTGGAAACCGCCAAACCCAGGCACTTCCATCAGATTGCAAACAGAAAAGTGTGATTCATCACTCCAGAGAACACTAGAGTCCAGGGCGGCTTGCTTTACACCACTGCATGCAACGCTTTACAGTGCACTTAAGGCTTAGATGCAGCTGCTCGGTCATGGAAACCCATTCCATTAAGTTTCTACATACTGTTGTGCTAATCTGAAGGCCACAAGAAGGTTGGAAGTCTTTAGCTATTGACTCTGCAGATAGTTGGCGACTTCTGCACACTGTGCACTTCAGCATGCACTGACCCCTCTCTGTCATTTTACTTGGCCTACCACTTTGTGGCTGAGTTGCTGTTGTACCCAGTTGCATCCACTTTGTTATAATACCACTAACAATTGACTGTGGAATATTTAGTAGCAAGGAAATACCATGGATGGACTTATTGCACAGGTGGCAACCTATCACGGTACCACGCTTGAAATCACTGAGCTCCTGAGACCAACCAATTATTTTACAAATGTCTGCATGCCTTGGTGCTTGATTTTATACTTCTGTGGCCACGGAGGGGATTGGAACACCTGAATCCAATGATTTGGAGGGCTGTCTCAAAACTTTTGGCAATATAGTGTATATATGTCTGTAGAGTGCTGGGGAGCTGTGATTGCAAGGGGCACTGTAATATAAAGGGGACTGCACTGTGAAGCTGCACCGTAATCATTACAGTGCAGTCCCTTTATATCACAGTGCCCCTTCACATTACAATGCAGAGGACCATGGGTATCGCATCACCAACCAACCCCATGAACGCCTGCTCAGAGCCCTGCTTCTCTTCTCCATCTTCACTGCAGGTCTCTGTAGTAGGCTATATAGTAAACCTGGCTGCAAAATCTGGACTACTCATATTGAATAGTATACGCAATGTGCGTAGCCAGAATCTGCCTCCTTCCCTGCTGCTGTTGTCCTGCTGAGGTTCTGTTGTCTGGGGGGTGACACCATATTTTACCGCACCAGGTGACACCAACCCTAATGACGCCACTGTTTGAGGTCTTTTTCTTTACAGGTATTCCAGTATAACAGTTATAAGAGCTGTATTGCATTATATATTTTTAAATAGCACCTTGAAATTAACTTGTTTTTCTCGTTTCTTTTTTTTTTTTTTTTTTTTTTTTTTTTTTTTTTTTTTTTCCAAGACCCCTAACCAAAAGTTATCAGGAAGTGGTACGTTCAGTATTCATGTCCTCTTCACCAGCATCAGGCACAAGCAGGAAGCAAACCATGAAAGACTTTCAAGAAGAAGTTTCCAATCTTTATAACAATATTCGGTTGTTTGAGAAGGGAATCAAGCTTTTTTCAGGTTAGAATCTTCGTTAATGGAGGATTTTTGATGGCCCTTTTTTTAGTGACTTCTTGTATCCCATGTGCTGCTTTAGGTCACATGCACACAGGGAATCAAAAACGCAGCTTTTTAGGGCACTGGACTTTTTTTTTTTCTACCTCTAAGTGCCACTCTATGATAGCCTATGTGTCCATGCACAAATAGACATTTACAGGCGTTTAGAGGCAATAAAAAAACAAATCGCTGGGTGCATTTAGTGCTTAAGCATTCTATCATTTCAGTGGCCAGAATAAATTAATATTCTGGCCAATAGAATGAATGAATGGCAAAGCATTTGACATGCCTAAATTCATTTGCAAAACGCTGCTTTAGGCACATTTTTTATTCTGCTTTTCTCATGCAAGGAGCAATGCATTTAGAAGAGCTAGGCAGTGCTCAGTGTGCATGAGGCCTGAACGTTCAGCAAATATTTTCTAAAACAAAAAGTGACATTAAAAACTAAAGTGAGTCATACAGGCATCACTACTTCAAACCTCCAATGCTGCAAAACTGATTGGCTGATGCAAGTAGCCGTGAAGATGCATTGACAGAAAACAGAAAAGCTGCACACCATTGAATTCACTCAGCTCAGTACATTTTTATTCAGCCATAAAAGCAATACATCTCACCCCCGCCTGGAGACTCTGACATGTCTCACCCTTATGGGCTTGACAAGGTTGAATCATATCAGAGACTGGTGGTCTCCAGGCAGGGGTGAGCTGTGTTGCTTTCATAGCTGAATAAAATTGTATTGAGCTGTGACATCACCGGTGTGGGGCTTCTCTTTTTCTTTCAGTTTAACCACTTGCCCTCCAGAGGATTTACCCCCCTTCCTGACCAGGCTATTTTTTGCATTACGGCGCTGAGTTATTTTGACTGATAATTGCGCGGTCATGCAACGCTGCACCCAAATGAAATTTACGTCCTTTTTTTCCCACGAATAGAGCTTTCTATCGATGGTATTTGATCGCCTGTGCGTTTTTTTTATTTTGCACTATAAAAAAAAAAACAGACCGACAATTTTGAGAAAAAAAACAATATTTTTGATTTTTTGCTATTAAACATCTCCAGTAAAATAAATTTTTAAAAATCACATTTAGTCATAAATTTTGGCCACAAATGTATTCTGCTACATGTCTTTGCTAAAAAAAAAATTCCCATATGTGTAAATTAATTGGTTTACGTGAAAGCTATAGCATTTACAGTGGTATATATGCTGGGTTTTTTTTTTTTTACTAGTAATAGCGACAATCAGCGACTTATAGCGGGACTACGGCGGACATTCTGACACTGGGGGGAACTGACTTGGTGTCACTGACATCCCCAGTGACACCAATACAGTGATCATTGCTAATAAAAAGCACTGACACTGTACTAACAGCACTGGGCAGGAAGGGGTTAACATGTGGGGCGATCAAAGGGTTAACTGTGTGCAGTGTGTCTGAGCTTCACTGTAAGCACACTGCTTTGCATGTGTTCAGGAGCTGACAGGGATGAGAACTGTATTGTTTACTTACAGTTCTCTCAATACGTCGGTAATGCTCTTCGATCACTGAGTGCTGGTGAGTGATCACCGGCTGGGACCCGGTGATTGACAGCTGAGGCCGCTAATAGCAAATCACGTGTATATATATGTGATTTTGCGCACCCCCGCAGCCCTGTAGCAGTATATCTGCTATAAGGCGGCGGGAAAGTGGTTAAAAGCTAAAGGTTAAATATGACTATAAATGTGAATATAATCTAATCCTATATCTGCCTTTAGCTTGAATTGGTGTCATAATTAGATTCATTTCACACGGATCACCGACCTTTCCATTTTATGCCTTAGATTCACTACACAGTAAATCTATATTTTTAAAGCAGTACTAAAGCCAAAACCAAAAATGTAACATATTGTAGATTTCTAATCATCAGATGTGGCTGCATTAGTTTTCTTTTCTTTTCTTAGGGTTTTTATCTCTGTTTCCACCTGGTAATCTGACCGGTAAGACACCTCTTGTGTCCCCACTCTGGATGAATGAGCACAGGGGACACCTTTGGACAGCAGCATTGTCAGGCTAGTAGAGGGATGCCCAACCTTTTGACTTTCCTCAGCCTCTTTGGAAGAAGAGGAATTGTTTTGGGCCACACATAAAATACACTGACAGTAAGGATAGGTGATGAGCAGAAAAAGTCAAGCAGATCACAAGTTAATTATCACTAATATAATGTACCTACTTGAGTAATAAAATTCAATTTTTTGTAATTTTTTTTAAATATAAAAGTAAAAGAGGGCAACATAAAACTAGTGTGATATCAACAAAGATTTTTTTAAAAACGAGTTCGATGTTTGACACTGTTTTTGATAAACTAACACTTCAGTATCTGGTTCTATGGATGTACAGTAGTAGGTATTCTCAAGGTGCTCATCGGACATTTTGGTTCTATTTTGGCCCTTCATGTGCTTCATCCTTGAAAATAGTTGCTCTCAAATATGGGTACTGCTGAAAATTGATGACATGAATAAGGAGTGATTGTGAAGAGTGGGAAATTTTTCTTTGGGAAGATAAAATTTCCAAAAGTTCAGTAAAGAGACTGTCAAGTTTTTCTTTGGCCGCATGTGTTCACTAAATGTAAATGTATTTTTAGGGAAAAAAAATTCAATTATTTTAGTAAATATAATATAAAAACTGCTAAATACCTTTTCTCATCAGCAGTTAGAGCAGTCTTGTGACTTCAGCAGAGCACTGGTTAAAACTTGTAGGAGGAGTTTTCTTTCTGCTCTAGGAGGATGTGATACCCCCTAACCCTCTGTCTGCAGAGTGTTGATTGGCGCTGTGCTGATTACATGCACTCTCCAAAGAAAAAAAAACCTCTCTAGCAATACACACCAAACTGAGCATGTATATGTGACTATAAATTCAGTCTGTATCAGGTGGTCATTTCAACAAGAGGAGGGGCAGAGAAGAAAGGATCAAACAACCTTTTTACACAATGCAGAGGATTAACCCCTTAGGTTCCACAGTGAATATAACAAGCATGCTTTACTGCATATACAGACTGATTTTACTGTTGTGGGTTTAGTAACACTTTAAGTAAGTTTACGATGTGTTTGGCTGCAGGATGGACACCCTAGTCTGAGTGGAAAGTGTTAGTCATACTAGCAGATTACAAATTGAAGTCAAACTCCAGCAGTCACAGCAAACCATTTTTTTTTCTTTTTGTGATAAAGGTCTTACATTTGGGAGCAAAGGTTTTGCATTGTCATTGTTATAAGGGATGTCTCATCTCTGTAACTGATACATTCTCCTAGAGAGTTTGTTCATTTGAAAACAGACCTGCTGGCCAGATCACCAAATGAAAATAAAAAGCCTAATAAAGAAAAAGAATGCAGCCATCACATGAAAAAAGAGCTAAACTGCAAAATAATAAATGTTTGCTTTTGGGTTTATTACCACTTCCTATGCATTAACACAGAGTTTAAAAAATGCTGATATACAAAATGAAGGTTTCAGCAGTACAGGGTCCAGATCTAACACAAACCAGATGTAATAATCCTATTCAAATGCAGAAACAACCTCTTGTTCAATGTCATTTTTACATGGCACATCTTTAATAGAGGGTCCCTCTGCAGATGTCTAGAGACGGCACAGGTCATGTGATACCAGAAATCCAGTGGATGAAGCAGTCATATATGTCATTTTTTTATTTACCAGAAGATTATTTGCCTAATTCCCTAGAGAATAATGCTGGGTTTGACTTGTGCAAGCCATAGATGGGTCGTTTATTGGCCGATATTTCGTCCGCACAAAAAATCGGCCGATATTCACGCCGTTAGTGGGGTCCGCCTGTTGGCCGTTTTTTGCGGGATCATCTCATTTACTTTTATTGGTCATATGGAAAATCCATGAAAAACGCCCGGTGGTGGCAGCATGGGCAACAGCGCAGACTGATTTTTCATTTATCGACCGACAATTCGGCTGATAAATGGGCCGTCTATGGCCTGCATTACTCTTTCTAATTTTTTGTGCTCCAGTTTCTAACCCTTCTATACTCTAATAAAAAGGTGTTTTTATTGCTTTCTGTGTCCTTTATCAGAGAGAGCTTGCCACATATTTTGTGCTGGCAAGTATCATCACTGGGGCAATCCTATTGAATGAGTACAATGACCGTGGTAGAAACCCAGTACTAACCCTTCTACTCTTTTTATTAAACTGAAAATTTTAATCTGGAGTTCCAGCTTTCTGTGCGTTTTGTTCTGATTTAAATACCTTTTTATATACCACCTTTAAGTGAGAAAGCAGTATAATTGAATTTCTATGTTCTATAGATGAAACTCTCAGAGTAATCTTGCCAAACACCTGCTGAAGACAGTGTGCACTGATATTACCAATCTTATCTTCAATTTTCTGGCCGGTGATGTAATGATAGCAGTCGAAGATTACACTACCATTACCAGTGAGGTATTGAGACCTTTTTTTTATTCTGTGCATAATGAAACCACCATTTTCTATGTGTTTGTTTCAGTTATCATAAATTTGCTAAAGTACAGCTTCTAGAATCATTTAGGAATATGTGTATTCAGTTTTATATAAATAAAGCAGGCAGTATTTCTCACAGGAGCATCCTGGAAAACCAGGGCTGAAGTGATCAATTTTCCACTACAAGGTAGAGGAAATAAGGACCTGATGAGGTCTAATCTGTAAACCTTGAGTTTCTTTTTCCCTCTTATTTTATAGAAACCTCTGGTAAAGTATATTCAACACTTTATTATAACTATTCGCATTTCTCAAATCATTGTAAGATAGTCTCTGGTAAGCGTATGGCATCATAATAAGCATTACTGCATCTATATAGTATCATTTTAAATGTACAAAGCGGTGCTATGGTAGGGCGCTTATTGATAGAACGCTGTTCCACATGTAATTACTATTGGGCATTGAAACCTTGATTGTGAAATTGTACACAAGAATCAAGGTGTAGTCTGATCACTGTACATTAGTTTGCTAGGGAACTAGTGATTTGAATTACTCCACTGAAAGTAATAAAGATTAGTCGAGGAGCAGGGCCCTCCTATCCCTCTTGTATTGAAATGTATTGTTACTGTATTGTCTCCCGTTATATTGTAAAGTGCTGAGCAAACTGTTGGCGCTATATAAATCCTGTATTATAATAATAATAGTATTTGCGCTTATGTTACATCACGTCAGTAACTTGTAGATTGCTGTATTGCAGAATGGTGTTATTAATATGCGCTCTGTTTTTCAGGTTAGAAAAAAAATGTTAAATAAGTTCCAAGAGGAGTCCAAGGGCCCTATGGCAAAACTTAACAGCTCCCTCTCTGGAAAAGTAAGTGTTGTGAATACATCCTTTTCACATACAGCTAGTGTCTTATCTGGATAACTTGTGTTTTGCTTCAATCACTCCATCCCAGCAACTCTGTTCATCACCAGGAGCTGAAAAGAAATGGTTGAGCCATAAAGCGGTATTAAACCCCCAAAACAAAAATGTAATATATTGCAGCTTACCAATCCTTAGCTGTGGTAGCTGCATTAGTTAGGTTTTTTTTTTTTAGGCTTTTTTCCTCTGTTTTAACATGGCGATCTGGCCATTAACACACTTCCGGTCTTAGGGTGTCTTCTTTCTGGGTGAAGTAGTATGGGAGACACATTTGGAAAGCATATTTTTCAGTCTGTGGGGAGGGTAGTGTTAAACTAACAGCTTTAGATGGTATAGACTAACAATTTGAAGCTGAACCCAAGCTAACACTTTATATGTACTTACAGCAAACAGTTTTTTCTCTTTTGGGATAAAGGTTTTACATAAATGAGTAAAAAGCTGACCATTGTAATCACCCCTGTTTGTGTTAAATGAATTACCTCAATCCTCTAATTGCTACTTTGCCTGGACAGCTTGGTCTGTTAAAGTAAGTTGAAAAATAAAAGCCTTGCTAACCAGGTTACCAAGTAAAAATGAAGGGAAAAAAAAGAAAACGAATGCATCTACCACATCTAAGAATTGGTGAGCAATAATTTAATACATTTTTGTTTTGGGGTTTAATGCCACTTTAATGTATTGAGGAGCAAGTGACTCACTGAATGTGACAGCGCTGGGCCAGTAATCACTATCATGCAGGGAGTTAATAGCTTTGCCCAACCTACAACTCCAATGATTCATAGCTACACTCAGGGCTATGAGTCATAGAATAACCCTTCAAATTTCCTTTATTCTAGTGTTCTTAGGATAGTGTATGTGTTTTCTTCAGCTCTTCTGTTTTTGTGTGTTTTTTCTACAATCAACAGCTACTGGTAGATTCTGAGTGCTGAAGTCTTGGAAGTCTCTCCATTCAGCAAAGAGCACTGGTAAATTCATGCTGGTAAATGAAAATCCTGGAGGTCTCTCCAGACAGCCTACTTTCCTTCTGCATAACATGTTCCAGATCATACATGTTAGGCCAGTATGCAGATAGTGTTACCCTGGGTCAGAGCCATGGCAGTGCTGTTCTTGTCCCTGTCTGTTAATCCTCAGTGTGAGCTGCAGCACCCTATTCTTGCTGTGTCAAGTGGATAGTGTTTTGTGCTGCAACTGCCATTACGTCTCTTTCTTTTACCTTCCAGTCAACTCAGCAGGTTCAGTAATGTCATGTGCATAGTTTCTAATGGTTTTTTGCCCCAAACTACTTTCCAGTTGCTTATGTTGCTCTTGAGCCTGCTGAGCATTGTTGGGCTAAAACCACCATTTTTAAAACTCACACCATTCTCTTTTTGGCCAGGACTGTGACACAGCTGCCTCTCATGAATGTGTGTGAATGTGACCATATGTGTGAGCACTTGCACCTGACATTTTTTTCACAGCTCAGAGGCAGTGAGTGTCACCGACCCAGCTCACAAAGATATCATCAGCATAGGTGAAAATGTTTGTCATTGGCTGCTGAGTTGTCTACTTTATCACTGTTATTCTGCTATGCTAGCATAATGAAAGATGAAAAATGTCCGTGCAAGCCATACTGTAAGTTTCCTAATTATCTCAAGTAGTATCAAGGTAACGTGTTTGAAATTTCTCACCGTTATCCCTTTGTAAAATAACTTGCCTCCTGGAAAGTTTACTCTCTTTGTAGAATGTGCTTGTTGAATCATTTAGTAGAATAGTGGAACAATTGCTTGGGTGAGCAAATCCCAGGAGCCAGGTAACCACTGGATCTAACTTTTTTGTGTGTTTCCTGTTAGCGCATGGTCCCTGGCTTGTTTTAAAGTGCTTGCTGGCTGCTAGAGTAGGCAAGCTTGGTTCTTCACATTCATTTGTCCATTTCTGGTTATGTACATTAAGTGTGTTTAGAGTACCAGTGCCTTATATTTTGAGAGGAAGCATTACTCTAGGAGCTAGAACACACACTAAGAAAAAAAAATCTACTAAAAGACTTTGAAATTTTACAAACAGAATTTATAAGATGTTTTGTAAATATGTATGTTTATTTGTTTTCCTCCCACACAGAATATAGAAGAATTTTTGTCCTGTCTGGATTCAGCAGCTGATGCATGTGGCATTCTCGTGAAGAAAGGAGATAAGAAGAAAGAAAGGTACTTGCATCTGTTAAATTAGAATAGAATTCTGGATGAGCACATTTTTATGTACAGTATCTTGTAGTTTTTTTTACTCTCGGCCTTAAACTGCTAGTTTCCAAAACTTGCCGTGAGACAAAATGCCTATTTCATTAGCGCGTTTGGCATAGCATTAGCAATGAATGGCACCCAAACATGTTTTGGCACATTTGCACAATCCAGAAATGCTGGCAGAATTGCACAATTCTGCCCCTTGATTGCAAGTCACTTAGAGGTGAACAGGGCCATAAGAAGCTTTAACCACATCAGCTCCGGAAGATGTACCCCCCTTCCTGACCAGTCATTTTTTTCTATTCGGTGCTGTGTGACTTCAACAGGTAATTGCACAGTCATGCCATGTTATACCCAAACCAAATTTGTGTCCTTTTTTTCACACAAATAGAGCTTTCTTTTGGTGGTATTTTATTACCACTGGGTTTTTTTTATTGTTTGTGATGCAAATGAAAAAAAAGACTGAAAATTTTGAACAATAACTATATTTTCTACTTTAAGTTATAAAAAAAAAAAATATCCAATAAACTCAAAGTTAGAGTCATACATTTAAGTCAAAAAGTATTCTGCTACATGTCTTTAGTTAAAAAAAAAATCCCAATACGTGTATATTAATTGGTTTTTGTGAAAGTGATAGCGTCTACAAACTATGTTATATATATTGGAATTTACTCAGCTTTTACTTTCTGACTGCCTATGACATTTCTTTAGATGCTAAAGTGCCAGAATAGTACTAACCCCCCTGCCCCCCACACCCCAAAAGAAAGTAGACACCCCAAGGAATTTGCTGAGAGACATGTTGAGCCCATGGAAGATTTTATTTTTGGCCACACATTTTTGGAAAATTACACATTTTTTTTTTTAAACATAAAATTGTCACTTAAATTATATATGGCTCATGCATGCAATGGGTATATGTGGAATAATACCCCAAAACACATTCTGCTACTTCTCCTGAATATGGTGATACCACATGTGAGAGACCGTTTGGTAGCCTAGCCACATACACGCCTCCAAAATCCACATCCAGGCTTTCAAAGGACATATTTTTTCATATCACTTCCTCACTACCTATCAGAGTTTCGTAGGCCCTACAAATGCCAGGATAGTACAAACACCCCCTCAAATGACCCCTTTTTGAAAAGTAGCCACCCCAAGGAATTTGATAACAGGTATGGTGAGTATTTTGCAGATTACATTTTTGTCACAGGGTTTTGAAAAAGAAAAGAAAAATTTTTTTTTTGTTTTCTTTCTCCATTTTTCAAAAATTAGTGGCAACAAATAAGATCTGCAAAATACTCACCATGCCCCCAAATACCTTGGAGTGTCTACTTTCCAGAAAAGGGTCATTTTGGGGGTACTTCTACTATCCTGGCATTTAAGGGCCAATGGGTAATGAATAAGCGCTGTCTTTAGCGTGCAACGTGTTTACCTGCCAGTCCCCTACTGTATTTCCACAGTCTGTATTGGTTTTATCTTGGTTCAATAAAGTGGATTGTTCGGAGTGCAGCTGAACGGACGTGCTTTGTTCTCATCTATGCAGCACACAAGCTGGGCTAGTACCTACAGGAGGAGTTGTGCTTGGAGATTGGGAGTATCTCTACCTTGAGCAGTGGTAAACATATATGGCCAACATTAGAAGCTTATGCTACACATCACCCACTCTTCTAACCACCTGAAGACAAATCCTTTTCTGACACTTTTTGTGTATATGAAAAACCATTTTTTTTTGCTAGAAAATTGTTGAGCACCAGGAGGAACCCAGGACCCATTTCACCAGCGTAGGTCTGACAATGGGTCCAAGTATTTCATCCCGATATCTGATGGCAGTCAGAGTGCTATTGTCTAACCTGTAGAGGTCTGTGTGTCCCTCCATGGATATGCCTTCCCAGACCATCACTGACCCACCACCAAAACGGTCATGCTGAACGATGTTACAGGCAGCATAACGTTCTCCATGGCTTCTCCAGACCCTTTCCCGTCTGTCACATGTGCTCAGGGTGAACCTGATCTGTGAAAAGCATAGGGCGCCACTGGCAGACCTGCCAATTCTGGTGTTCAGTGGCAAATGCCAGTCGAGCTCTATGGTGCCGACTGGTGAGCACAGGGCTCACTAGAGGACATCTGGCCCTCAGGCCACCCTCATGAAATCTGTTTCTGATTGTTTGGTCAGAGACATTCACACCAGTGGCCTGCTGGAGGTAATTTTGTAGGGCTCTGGCAGTGCTCATCCTGTTTCTCCTTGAACAAAGGAGTAGATACTGGTCCTGATGATGGGTTAAGGACCTTCTATGGCCCTGTCCAGCTCTCCTAGAGTAACTTCCTGTCTCCTGTAATCTCCTCCATGCTCTTGAGACTGCTGGGAGACTCAGCAAACCTTCTGCCAATGGCACATATTGATGTGCCATCCTGGAGGATTTGGACTCCTGTGCAAACTCTGTAGGGTCCAGGTATCGCCTCATGCTACCAGTAGTGACACTGACCCTAGCCAAATGCAAAACTAGTGAAAAACAGTCAGAAAAGATGAGTAGGGAAAAGAATGTCAGTGGCCTCCACCTATAAAACCATTCCTGTTTTGGGGGTCATCTCATTGTTGCCCATCTAGTGCACCTGTTATTAATTTCATTAACACCAAAGCAGCTGAAACTGATTAACAACCCCCTCTGCTACTTAACTGACCATATCAATATCCCAGGAGTTTAATTGACTTGATGTTATACTCTGATCAAAAAGTGTTCCTTTAATTTTATTGAGCAGTGTATATAGGATCTAATCTTCCTGACATGTCTGCAGTTATAGGGTGATTCAATAACTCTTCTTTATGTTATGCCCTATAGTGGATATAACCTTCCTGACGTGTCTGTTGCTACTGATGTTATAACTCCTAATCCACTTGTACTGAATTGTATTGTAGATGTACTCCCTTCTTTTATTGGCTTTATTCACATGGCTTTAAAAGAAAACACATTTACAAGCAGATCCTTTTTACAGATCTGAATGCAGCTGCAATGTTTCCAATGGAGACTGTTACACAGGTGCGCAAACATGCAGATCAGTAAGGCTCCTTTCACACTTCTGTGGTGCAGTTTGCCCACACCACAGGTGCAGTGCAGCTGACCTGCGTGTGTACAAGTTAGCTGCACTTTCCTGTAGAGTTATATTGTGTCCTACTTGTTTGATGTGCTTTTTGAAAGTGCAACAAAACTCTTGCAATGGGCTGTATAAAAAATGCACGTGTTCGCGCATACAAATGCCTCTAGCTTTTCTTGAGTTGTGTCCTACATGCATACACACCTATGTGCACTCATTTGCAAGTGAGATACCGTGCACCCCTCCAATGAGTGCCTCAATCTGCACAGTGTGCAGGAATGGGAGTAGGATTTTTGTCGAGTGCACTGTCAGAGGGAACCCCTGTCCTTCATTCTTCTGATCCCTGTCCCCCCCACCCTGCTGACCCCTATACTCTGCAAACTACTGACCCTATCCTCTGCCAAGCTGACACTCTGTATATTGTCCTGCTGACCTCCCATCCTCTGCTGCCCCCTGACATTTTTTTACTGCACCTCCACTTCAGACAGGCTAGATCTGGCCCTACTTCCAGGTGTTTTTGAGCAGTTGATTTTTAACATTTAATCTATGTAAATAAATGTGACTGTTGTAAGCACTCCTGGCAGTGTTAAAATTGTACCAAACCCTGTCAGTGCTGGAAAGTTTAATTTGAATGTTAACGTGAAGAACATTCTAAATAAAGGCATGTGAAATTTAAAAAAAAAAATAATATACAGATTACTGTCATTAAAAAGATTAACATTTACTTTTATCAGAATGCAGTATTTTGATAATAGTTGCCTTTTAAGCACAAATCTAAACATTAATGGTAACAAAGATTTTAGAGATCACAGTAGAATGTTAGTGGGATTGCTGAGGCTTTGTATATTTTTGTCATCACTGACTTGATTGACATGTCTATGTTAGTGCTTTGTTCAAGGCCTCCTAATAAAGGGTTTATAGACTAAGAAAGTGGGTAATGTGAACCAGAATGCACTGCAATTAAATGTTTTTTAAATTCTTTAGTCTGTGGTGTTTTCCTGCGGTACCTGTGGCTGACCTACTAACAACTCAGAAATGTAATTAAATTTAACCTTTTACTTAGTCTAAACTCCTCAACCGCAGCTGTGACCAGGCTACTAAAGAGTAGAGGGCAGCCTGAACTTTTATCTCTCACCCAGTGCATTTTGGAATTGGAATGTCCACATTCTGTAAAGATAGAAGGCTGGTGGAATAGCCGCAGAATGTGTGTTTGATTTGTAAACATGCCAGTAGGATGAATGTTTGTCTGTCCTTACAAAAGACTGTTCTGTCTATGCTGTTAGTGAATGTCAGAACATTTCTTTTGTGGTCTTCCTAACCTACCTAAAAGCCCTCCCAAAAGCATACCATAGTTTACGATGGTTTATTTTGTCTCTTACAAGTTCACTGTAATATTTATGTACATGCATTCCAGGGGCAAATTCAGATGTATTCACAGTCCATATAAAGTTTATTTATTTTTTTAGCATGTTCATGTCAGGATTCAGTAGGATTGATTAAATTAAAACTATTGTTCCATATCCTGCTCACAAGTTCAAAACCACTATATGCGTGTTCGGAACCTTCAGTTCTGGTTGCACAGTTTGGCCACTAGAGCAAAAACCATTGACCGACATGCTAAAATTATGAAAACACTTCTTGACTTTTGGATTTGTAAGGAATTATGACAAATTAATACCATTTATTCTAAAATGGTACTGCTGTACATATTGTCAGCCGAGAATTAAAACCATATGGCCAAGTTTAGTAAAGATGAAATATTCCTAAATGCTAATCCTTATGTACAGCAACTCCTAACAGAATGCTCGCTGCTGAAATCAGACGATTACAACATGGAATTTGATTAGTTGGTATGGTAAACCACACAAGAGTTTCATACAAATTTCAGAGAAACTTTACCGGTTTGGGATAAATTTGTTTTTTCATTCTTTTTAAAGCCCATCTCTGGTCAAATATTAACCCAACTCGTTTTCTAGCCATTCCATACAAATCTAGCACATTTTTCTTTTGCTTTCTTAAGCATTTTACTCAGCTAAGTCCACTGATTGTATGCTGACACCATTTCTAGGTGAGGGTGACCAATATTCCAGAAGTGTAGATATGCCCTGGTTGGTTCCCAACAGTCCCCTCTTGCTGTTATGACCACTGAGATTCCTCCTCTGCATCCTGAGAGGATCTTGCTGTTGGACAGTCAAAGAAGGACCCTGCCTCCTGTGAACAAAAAGCGAAGACTCAAGAGCATCACATTATGACCAAATTGGTTGAGTACAAAAAAGCATTTAGATTTTCCTAGATTGTAAGCTCCAAGGAGCAGGACCCTCCTATCACTCCTGTATTGAACTGTATTGTTTCTGTATTGTCTCCTGTTATATTGTAAAGCGCAGAGCAAACTGTTGCTGCTATATAAATCCTGTATAATAATAATTTTTGTTAAATTCAGTGCCGGTGATTTGTTGGAGGGGTGGAGAGCCCTGAGTTCAGCTATAAGTTTACATGTTTCTAAACTCCTTTTGTGTATATGTTTTATTATTTGTATAAAAACCTTTATTTCACCAATGGTAATTTATTACAGGGTGCACCTATGATATTGGGTCTGCAGAACATTCTGACTTTTTTAAAGAAAGAGTACAGCTGTAGTTTTTCCATTTGTAACTCTCACTGTAATTAAAATTTCATACAGAGCTGTACAAAGCCAGGGAATAAAGTCTCCTCAGAATCATTCAGTAGTGTGTAAAATAGGAGCTTCAGCTTTACAGCATTGCCTTTGAAGTTAACATGGTTCTAAAGCCTTAAGGTTTTGTTACCTTAATGTCTAGAATGCATTAGGGAAAAAAAAACCTTCTGTGACTAGCCCCTCCCCCTTCTACTTACCTGAGCCTGATCTCGATCATCCAGCGATGTGCATGCAGCGGCTCTCCCGGCTCTCTTCCTGCACACTGGGTAGACTGTTAGCAATGGCTCCTGTTTCTGTCAAATCCTATGATGAAGGAGTGGGGGGCAGGGGGAAGGGCTCAGGAGCTTCCTTGCATGTGTCATCTTAGGAAACGGCTTCCTATGGTGGCACACAAAGAAGAGAAGGAGCCAAGAAAGCTGACAGGGGAACCCAAATGAGGAGGATCAGGCAGCTCTGTGCAAAACCATTGCACAGAGCAGGTAATTATAACATGTTTGCTATTTTTAGTAAAAAAAAAAACTGGAAGCTTTAATATTATTTTAAGTTTAGTAAAGTATACCTATTCAAATATATGCAATATTTCATATTTAACATTGTAGAAAAGAAAAGAAATTCTATATTAAAAATTGGATTAGTTTTGTCTTGAATGCAATAAAGCAAATTGGTATTCCTTGAAGAAAAAGAACATTACTGAATATTGTTCAGAGAGGTGGAAAGATTTGTTCTGACGCTGTTGGTGAACCCATTCACATGCTGCTTTTGTACGATTGTTGAAACAGGCAATATTGAAAACGCATTGGTTTATCTTTTCAGAGCATTAAGTGACAAATAGTTTTTCTTCTTTTTAGGCAAGTTTTGTTCCAGCACAGGCTAGCTCTTATCGAGCAGGTCAAAGTCACGGAAGACGCAGCCCTAGTCTTGCATCTGACATCTGTCTTGCTGTTTCAATTCACAACACATTGCATGCTTCACGCACCAGGAAGATGTGTCCCACAGATTATTGCTTTTCTGAAATCCAAGATCCCTGAGGTATTGTCATGAACAAGTTGTAGTATATGTACTGCATAGCACAACTGTGAGTCATGAGAACCAACATATAGATATGTGGTATGACAGTGATGTAAAACATAAATAAATGACATGAGAGATCATTTTTACAAATCTTTTCCTATTCCAGTGTAGGTTACACTTATAAATAGCTATCCTACATTTAAAGGACCAGTAAACATAAAATGTTACCTTTGTGCTTTCCATTATCTGTACAAAACTTGAGATGTCCATGTGTTTACTGCTAAAAGTATTCATAGTTAATAGGTATTGTCTGCTATCTGCAGTTTCCTCTACTCCTAGGATAAATTTGAAAGTACCTTTTGTAAGGGAAATGAGTTCTCTGCTGAATTTGGAGTCTTTTTGAATCTAAAGTGAACAATCCAGTGCAAAGCAACAGATTTTCTTAACTGTTTCCCTCTCCAGCTACAGATTCTCACCTTCACTTCAATCCCCCACTGCTTTAGCTGTTGGGAGGAAAGATAAATACCTAGCTCTTTTGGGTGTAGAGAGCAAGCCATTCAGGCACCCAGCACTGGGGGTAGGTAGAGAGACCTCAGCCCCAAGTAAGCTCTGCAGCAGGGGAGTAAAATGAGGGCAGACACTAGACTTCCTGAAGATCAAAAAAGTCTAGCTGCCATGCCGTTGCTTTTGATTTCATTTCATTCTGAGCTACTGCCCTAGAACACTTATGCAGAGAAGGGTAAAGAAGGCCATAGATGAGTCGAAAAACAAACTATGTGTAGCTCTTAAAATTGTTAATTTTCTGAAATCATTAGTGTGCCAGCTGCGACTCGCAATTTTTGTGCCACAATCGAAAGTGCCTCATCCAACATGCTGGCTTTTTTTTTTAGAAAATCGAGACTATTGATGGCAAAATTGTACAGTGGGGCAAAAAAGTATTTAGTCAGCCACCAATTGTGCACGTTCTCCCACTTAAAAAGATGAGAGAGGCCTGTAATTGGCATCATAGGTAGACCTCAACTATGAGAGACAAAATGAGAAAAAAAATCCAGACAATCACATTGGCTGATTTGAAAATAATTTATTTGCAAATTATGTTGGAAAATAAGTATTTGGTCAATATCAAAAGTTCATCTCAATATTTTGTTATATATCCTTTATTGGCAATGACAGAGGTCAAACGTTTCCTGTAAGTCTTCACAAGGTTGGCACACACTGTTGCTGGTATGTTGGCCCATTCCTCCATGCAGATCTCCTCTAGAGCAGTGATGTTTTGGGGCTGTCGCTGGGCAACATAGACTTTCAACTCCTTCCAAAGGTTTTCTATGGCGTTGAGATCTGGAGACTGGCTAGGCCGCTCCAGGACCTTGAAATGCTTATTACGAAGCCACTCCTTCATTGTCCGGGCGGTATGTTTGGGATCATTGTCATGTTGGAAGACCCAGCCACGTTTCATCTTCAATGCCCTTGCTGATGGAAGGAGGTTTGCACTCAAAATCTCACGACACATGGCCCCATTCATTCTGTCCTGTACATGGATCAGTCGCCCTGGTCCCTTTGCGGAGAAACAGCCCCAAAGCATGATGTTGCCACCCCCATGCTTCACAGTAGGTATGGTGTTCTTTGGATGCAACTCAGCATTCTCTCTCCTCCAAACACAACGAGTTGTGTTTCTACCAAACAGTTCTATTTTGGTTTCATCTGACCATATGACATTCTCCCAATCCTCTTCTGGATCATCCAAATGCTCTCTAGCAAACTTCAGACGGGCCCGGGCATGTACTGGCTTAAGCAGGGGGACACGTCTGGCACTGCAGGATCTGAGTCCCTGGCGGCGTAGTGTGTTACTAATGGTAGCCTTTGTTACGTTGGTCCCAGCTCTCTGCGGGTCATTCACTAGGTCCCCGGATGTGGTCCTGGGATTTTTGCTCACCATTCTTGTGATCATTTTGACCCCACGGGGTGAGATCTTGCGTGGAGCCCCAGATCGAGGGAGATTATCAGTGGTCTTGTATGTCTTCCATTTTTAATTATTGCTCCCGCAGTTGATTTGTTCACACCAAGCTGCTTGCCTATTGCTTCCCAGCCTGGTGCAGGTCTACAATTTTGTTTCTGGTGTCTCAAGTGTCTTTTATACTGATAACAAGTTCAAACAGGTGCCATTGATACAGGTAATGAGTGCAGGACAGAGGAGCCTCTTAAAGAAGAAGGTACAGGTCTGTGAGAGCCAGAAATCTTGCTTGTTTGTAGGTGACTTATTTTCCACCATAATTTGCAAATAAATTCTTTCCAAATCAGCCAATGTGATTGTCTGGATTTTTGTTCTTATTTTGTCTCTCATAGTTGAGGTCTACCTATGATGCCAATTACAGGCCTCTCTCATCTTTTTAAGTGGGAGAACTTGCACAATTGGTGGCTGACTAAATACTTTTTTGCCCCACTGTAAGTGCTGTTTTTGTTTTTTGATCAACAGAACTTTTGTTTTTCAACTTGTCTATGGCCTGCTTTACTGTCATTCTGGAATTCAGATTTTTGAAGACAAGCTACTGTCATATTTAAAATGAGATCCTCAATGGCAGCCCACAAATTTATGTTATCACATGTATACTGTAGGGTGCAGTGATCAGAGAAGCACAGATCACAGTTGTTTATATACTTGTGCATACTCCCAAGGTAGAGTTATAAATGTGAATGCAGTGGTCAAAAGGCTGAAAAAAAATAATGTTAAGGATTAGACTGCCTAAGCAAGAAATGTATATTATTAAATCCTATTTAAACTTAAAAACAAAAATGTAACATATTGCACATTACCAGTCATTGAATGTGAGGATTGCATTTTTTTGTTCACCAGGTATTGCTGTTAAACATCATACTTCCTCTGCCTGAGTGACTACATTCACTCCTCTAGTACAAACAAATGGCAACCACCCCAATCTGCAAATGGCCTATGCAGTAAGGAGCACATGGAAGGGCGACGCATGTCAAAAAACAACAAAGAAACATTCCCAGCTCACTTCCCAACCAGCCTGCAACAAACCGAATTAACCTGTCTAACAGTTCACATTAAACCAAGGGGTATAGTTTGTACACATTTGCAAATACATGCATAAGCTTCAGAGACCACTTTACAGCACCCCAGTATATCTACAATCCTAACTCTATAAATTTTGAGACCCTCCAAGGTCGGAGCACATATATAATAATGGATAGATTAAGGACAGGTATGCCTGGAGGGAACCCAACCCTCCTTAAAGGTATAGGAACACACTGGACACCCAGCTATAGCACAATGGCAGCGAAGGTATCCAGTGCGTTACCCCAACCAATTCATCAACAGTACAAACAAATGGCAACCACCCCATCCTATAACTGGCCTATGCAGCAAGGAACACATGGAAGGGCGGTGCATGTAAAAAAAAATAAAAAAAAAAAAATTCCCAGATCACTTACCAACCAGACTTCATTCACTCCTCTATTGTTTCTTTGGGGATGGGGGGGTTGTCAAACAGGTAAGACTGTAAATATGGGTGCCTCTATTCATCTCCAATACATGTAGGATGTGGAGACTAGTAGTTCCCAGAAGGTAAATAACATTGTTATGTGCTTTCTGTCCATTTCACATGAAGTTATATTGGATTTCTGGCAAGAGCAACAGGCATATTCTGTACTTGCTAAAACTGTTCTTAACCTTAAATAAAACAAATGCAACAACCGCATCTAAGGACTGGTAAGCGGTGATGAATTATATTTTTGTTCTTGGGTTTAGTTATCCTTTAAATTAAGTTAAATTACTTCTACTGTATGTTTGAATTATTTCATTAATCATCATGTTTGTGTTTGTTCAAATTTATTTTCCCTTTAATTCAAATATACCTGATATTGTTGTTTTGTTATTTTTATTCCAGGATCAGCATAGCCTTTTGGTTAACTATCAAAGCCTTGTAGTAAAACAGCTTATAGGTCAGACAAAGCAAAAGGAGGATGAAGATGTTGACACGATGGGAGACCCATCAGAAGTACCAGAGAAAGCATCAGAGGACGTTAGAAAGGAACTTCAAGAACTGTCCACCAAAATCAAAGATCTTGTTCTGCGTGCCAGAAAATCCTCTGCGTCAGAAGACTAACAGGAAATTGGTTCATTTTTTCACCTCACAACATACAAATAATGTCAAAATGGGAAAACCATATTAAAAATGCACAGTTCCGCAAGTTAATTAAAATATGTATTCCCTAATGTAAATAGGGTTGGCATTATTTTGTGATAAGTTATCTAAGAATAAGATTTTATTATTCTAATAATAAAAGTATCTTTAAATAATGGTTTGTGTGCAGAACCCCTTTTACATTTGTTTCTAGCTGTATCTGTCTTTTTGTCAGTGCAAAGTGACACCTGATCACTACACTTCAATTTTTTGTTTACAAAACCTGTGACTATGCTGTTTTTTTTTAAATTGTTTTTGTCTTAATTAGAACATTCAAAAGCATCTGACTGGTGTGCATTTTTCTCCTTAACTGATTTTGGGCAGCTTACCTCTGCAGCAAGATCTGTCAGCCATCACCAAAAGTATCTGCCCATTTTTTTTTTCATTATCTGTGTCATTGTTGGGGAGATTTCCCTTCACTTCTTACCGTGGTGAAACCCTGATGAGAACAATGTCAGGGAAAGAAATGTCGCTAACAGGGTTACAGAACCGAAAAAAAATTGAGGTTCTGGTTCTATCCAAAAGTTTAACCACTGCTTACCAATGTGGCTGTAGTTGGGTTTTGACAAAAAAGTTAATTTAAAGCATAGGGTGACATAAAAGGCCAAGATCCCTCATCTTCAAAACCTTGAGCTTAAACTTCCTGAAGCAAAATTACTGATACTTGCACTGTACAGTAGTTCACAACACCTATGTGACAAAGCAGCTTATGCACCTTTTTGAGCTTCTGCTATGTTTTAAATGTGATTTTCTATGTGTCCTCAAAATGCTATAGTATGAATGCAGCCTTAGTCATCCCTGCTGAACATATGAACTTGAGGATGATTGGAATACAGATAAAATATGTTATAAAGGGTTCACTTCCATTTCTGATTTTTATTGATTCAATATGTTTCCCGAGCAGTGGTGTTCAACTTTTCACGTTGTTACCCAACAACCATTGTTCAGGGACCCTAGTTGCCAGTTTTGTCTTTGTTCTTGGACTCTCAATTTAATGGTTTTCAATATACTGTATAATTAGCTGTCTAAATTGGGACACCCATACAGGCTTTTATAGCTGGTTTTAAACAGACATTTTTTTCAAAATCTCATGAAGTTATTTTCTTTGCAACATTAAAGTATTCGTTATAATGAAAGCAGCTGTGCAATAAGTAAGAATACTCTAGTCAAAACAGAAAGTGAAGATTTGACATGCAAAAAGATAGCATAGCCAATACATACCTTTTTATGACAGTTTTCATTAAAATATTGCTGTAGTGGATCAATTCAATCTGTTTTATCAGCAATTGGAAAGTCTTAGAAAATGCCTGTTTCGCATGCCAGAACTTTCTTGCTGCCTTTCTTGTACAGTAAAAGAAAATCCAGTAAAAAAGTTTCTCATGGACACCATTAAGATTCAGGCCTTACTTAAAAATTTGAATGTGATTGGTGATGCATAGAGACAGAAAATCACACCACACAGATTCAGAAAGTTTAAAGCCTAATTGAATCCTAATATTAAATTGGCTAAATGCATTCCAGGTGTGTCAAAAAAGCTGTTTAGTGTCTTACAATTTGTCTTTTTTTGAGTAGAAAAGCCAGTACAATGCCAACATACTGCAGAGTGGGACTCTTGTTCTCTGTGTGAAAGCAGTGGTCTCTGCAGGGAGCTTCATCTTTGTTTATTGCAGAGCTGTAAGGCAAACTCAGCAGGAGGTGTGTAGCACCTCTGTAAATAGACTATAATATATTAAACACCTGCTATGAAGTCAGAATTTATTTGGGCCAGGAATAAAAGCTTAGGTGCTGGTCTGATTCATATAAAAAAACTATGTATCATAAACAATATACAAACCTATTTAGCAGAAATGCACTTTTTAATGTCTGGTATTTTGGCTGTGATCTACACCCAGTTTGTAGTTGTTAACATGGGGGACTTTCAACAAAGCCTTGAAGTTCCCACTCCCTCTGCTATGCCCACCACAATCACTTCTTCCCCTTCACATCTGCTATCAATCTCAACCTCCTCTCCTTTACCAGAACCTGTATTCAGTTACCTTGTCTGTGGAGTCATTTTCTCCCCCCACCCCTGCTCACGTTTTTGTTCTCTTTTCCTCATTTCCTTCCCTGTAATGAATAGTGACAGCACTTGTCCCAGATGCATGCTTGGTGCCTTAGACAAGCACTGTCACTCATAACTATGCATTCATCCCTCTGTGAGCAGCAGAGTTCTCCAGTGGTGAGTGGAGGAGGGTATGATGTTGACAGTGCTAGCTCAGGATCTGGACCCCTAGAAAAATGGGATAAAGTGCTGCAAACACTTTTTCCCACAAGGGACATAACCTAGAAAAAGTTTGGTTTGAGTTCTTCTTTAGTCCTTCATCCTCCTGAGGCAGTTAGATGATTTGTGAAATTTAGTTTTAGTGGATTACAGAATATCCAGATTTGGGTAAACTGGGTGTACTCTCTGATAATAAAACAATGCGGTGTTGTACTTGACCACATGATGCATTATTAGCTCAATTGTTGCTTTCACGTGCTGCCTTGAATTGTCTTTTAACAGAAAGTAATCCATCCTTCACTATAGACCTGAATGAAGAAGATTAAATAGTGAAGATCATTTATTTTACTTTTATAATGCAGTTTATTGATAGTGTCAAGTCATCAGCTAAAACCAAAGGTAGAAATAACAGTTAAGAGGAAATATACAGTTCCTCTAGTTAACGTAAAGCATAATAAATGCACTGAGTTACAGAAGCAAACAAAATTACAATTACAATGTGTAATTAAATGATGAGACACATAACAAAGTGCAGTACTGAACAGCATGTGAAGGCCTAAGATTCATCAGTTTGAATCCGTAGTCAGGCATGAGAACAGCATGCAAAGCGTTCTGTATAACCCCATAAGAGAAGTGGATACACCAATCCTTTGGGTCCAGAGATTATATAAAACACTTCAGGTGACAAAAAGAAAAATCATATTCAGCACAATTACAGAATGAAAAAGAAGAGCAAATGAGAAGAAAGAAAAAAATGAAGGGAAAGGAAAAAGGGTCCTGGGAGATCACAGTAGAAGGTCGTTAAAGCGGCAGAAGGGCATTGTCAAATCTAGATGGTTGGGCTATGTCAATCCAAGGTTGCCAAATTTGGAGGAACTTTTCATGTTTGTCTAGCAGTATAGTTGTTGACTTCTCACTAACCATTATAAAGTTCATCCGATTTTTGACTGCTTCGAAACTGAGGAGGAGGGGGGTCTTCCATGCTTTCGCAATTGTCAGTTTGGCAGCTGTGAATAAATGTGGTGCCAATTGTCGCTCGGGGTGGAGTAGGTCAGCAATTGGTTTAAATAAAAGCGCCTCATAAGGGTTTTTGTTTAATATTTGCATGAAAAACATAGTGCGAAGGAAAGCATAGACCCTGACCCAGAGTCTACATACCTTGGGACATGACCACCAAATGTGGGCCATGGTACTGATCTGTTGGTAACCCTGGAAGCAAGGTGGTTAATAAGATGGGATGAAACGGGCCAGTGGAGCTGGCGTATAGTAACACCTATAGAGGATTTTTCTGTAGGAGATAATGGAAGAATAGATCAGTGATATCAGGCCCAGAGAATGAGGTCTGGTTCTACAGAGGCTTTCAAAAGGAGTCAATCTGTATGGCTTGGGTTGTGCACGTAGTAGTGTAGTGATAAAAATGGCAAAGTTGAAGGTAGCAAAAATGCTGCTGTCGTGGGATGTTATGGGACGACTGAAGGGCGTCAAAGGTGACAATCCTAGTAGGGGAGAGTAAGGAGTGAAAGTAGTAATTTGGGAAGATAAGTCCTGTGAATTGCGTTAATTCTGCCAAACCACGATAAGGGGAAATGAGCCCATGAAGATAACATATCTGTCAATTCTTTAAATAATGAAGGGAAATTGGCTTGGTAAAGTCCCTTGTAGGATGGGGTGAGTCTGACACCCATATATGGCAGCACTGGAAGCCATTGAAAGGGAAACATTTTCTATAGTCACTAATAGTGGTGGAGGGAGGGTTACTGACATGGCTTTAGATTTGTCAGGATTAACATTAAGGGCCGAAAGGGAAGCAAATGTGTCCAGGACGGAGATCAAATTTGGTAAGATGACTCCCGAGTTCATTAGTGTCAATAGTATATCACCAGCAAACAATGAAATTTTATGTTGCGAGCTTGCCACATCTAGCCCCGCGACATCTAGGTGAGTTTGCACGGCCACAGCCAAGGGTTCCAATGCCAGATTAAATAGCAATGGAGAAAGCGGGCAGCCTTCTCTGGTTCCCCTGCAGATCGGAAAGGTTGAGGATTCAAAGCCATAATATTGAAGTTTAGCCTGTGGGGATGTATATAAGACCTGAGACCCAACACAAAGGATGGACTGCAACCATAGTGGCGGAGGACAGATAAAAGATAGGGTCAGGACAATGTGTCAAAAGCCTTATTAATATCTAGGAACAAGAGCATCATGTCAATCGTGCGGGTGTGTGAGCTAAATGTTGTAATTGTGGAACCCGTCTAATGGCGTCCCCAGTTTGTCTATGTGTGAAAAAGCCCACCTCATCTTTTTTAATTAATCGGGTGAGAAAGGAATTCAGGCGATTAGTTAAAATTTTAGTACGGATTTTCATATCTATATTGATGAGAGAGATAGGTCTATAATTAGCCCAAGATTAATGATCTCGGTCCAGTTTCAGAATCATAACTATATTAGCAGTTAGCAAATTCAAAGTGAAGTTCTAGCCTGCCTTTACCGAATTGTACATGGCAGCCAAATGAGGCACGAGGACGTTTGCCAGTTTTTTATAGTACAAAGTCCTATAACCATCTGGGACTGGACGTTTACTCGTCTTCAGGTCTGTAATACATTGTAGGACTTTCGATACTTGGATATCATGATCCATAAGATTTTTATGTGAATGGTTCAA